AGAGTGAAAACATAGCTTCTTTAAAAAGCAAGCAAAGGTGCTGTTTGACTATCCCGCCTCCAAAACACCATCTTCAGTTGTTGCAGGGTTTCATAATTAGGTGTATCAATTAGGCAGGGAAAAATGCTATAATGTACAGAACTAGGGTTAGGAGACACTGGTCTATGTGATGACAAGTGGCAGATAGCTGAGTCTGGCAGAGATGATGTAACACAAGGCAGCCACAGGTATTTACTAACATAAAGCAGTCATGAAAAGGAAATGAATATAAAATTAGGTTCATAAGTTTTTGGACAGTGACACAGATTTTGTAAATTTGCCTCTGTACACCACCACAATGAATTTGAAATGACACAATGTGATTAAAGTGTAAACTTTCAGCTTTAATATAAAGGGTATATTAATAATATCACATTAAACATTTAGGATTTACAGCCTTTTTTTACATAGTACCTCCATTTTCACAGGCTCAAAACTTGCGAATTGACTGATAAGCAGTTTCATGGCCAGGTGTTGCCTGTTCCCTCATTATTTCATAATAGATTAAGGAGATGGGTCTAGAGTTGATTCCGAGTGATGAATATGCATTTGGTAGCTGTTCCTGGGAGCTCTTAATATGCGGCCCAAAGAGTTACAAGTGACAGGGGCCATCATTAGGCCAAAAAAAAATGAACCTATCAGACAGACAGCAGAAACATTAAAAATGGCCAAATCAACAATTCGGTATATTTTTTAAAAAGAAGGAATGCACTGCTCAGCAGCACCAAAATGCCTGGAAAACCATGGGACGACTAAAGTGAATAATCACGGTATTCTTTCCATGGTGAAGAAAAACCCCTTCATAACATTTAATCAACTCAAGAACATCCTGGAGGAGGTTGACGTATCATTGTCAAAGTCTGCAATCAAGAGACGCTTTCATGAATGTGAATACAGATGGTTTACCTCAAGATGCAAAACACTGGTAACACTCAAGAAAAGAAAGGGCAGAAAACATCTAAAAAGCCTGCCCAGTTCTGGAACAAAATTCTTTAGACAGATGAAATCAAGCTTAATGATGGGTAAAGAAGAGTATGGAGAAGGAAAAAAGAAGGGTTCGTGATTCATGGTTCATGGTTCATTCTACATTATCTGTCAAACATGGTGGAGATAGTGTTAATGGTATGAGCATGTATGGCTGCCAATGGAACTGGGTCACTGGTGTTTTCTGATGATGTGACAGCTGAAAGACATAGCAGGATAAATTCTGAAATGTATAGAGCTATACACTTTCTGCTCAGATTCAGTCAAATGCTGTAAAACTAATAGGACAGCATTTCACAGTACACATGGATAATGACCCAAAACATACAGTGAAAGCAACCCAAGAGCTTCTTAAGGCAAAGTAATGGAATGCTCTTAAATGGCCAAGTCAGTCACCTGACCTCAGCCCAATTGAGCCTGCATAAAAAATCGCTGTAATTCCTAAATGGTAATGTAACATTATTGTTAAACCTCTTGAATTAAAGCTGAAAGTCTACACTTCAATCACTTCTTAATTGCTTCATTTCAAATCCTTTATGTTGGTGTATAGAGGCCAAATTGCAAAAATTGTGTCACTGTCCAAATACTTATGGACCTGACTGTAAATAAAGAACAGCTTTATTTGATTCCAGATGCAACCTGACATGGTATTGGTTTGGCTAGGTTCTAGTAGTGAGGGACCACATGTTTTTTGGTTAGAACAGAGGCTTGTTTTGACTGGATTGCTCTAGTTTGGACTGTTTTTCACTCTTCGTAGAAATAGCTCTTGCACTCTGAAGGCAGTCTCAGGGGTGGGTCGCCATTAAGTGGGCTGGGTGAAGCATTGCAGTAGGGGCTAGAGGCCTTGGGGAAGGAGAGAGCAAGTAAAAGGGCAAAAGGGTAAAAGCAAAAGAAGTTTGAGGCGTTGGCTAGTGTCTACACTGACCTGACAGCCCTCAAGGATATAAGCAGTGGATTTTTATTTTCTAAGCAAAATCCTACAGGTGGTGGCTGGGGATGGCGGATTATGTTGCCCTACAACTCTCATAAGCCTTCTCACTGTGTCTCCCAAAGTGTATTCACACATTCCAGACAGGAGAGGCCCTTGAAGATCTTCCAGCTTCAACATTCTGCCTGTCTGGAAGGAACTAAAAAAGGGTGGGAGGGGCATGAAGGTGGATCAAGTGCTCTGACCAATTTTCTCAGAGTCAAGGAGACACACCCAAATACTGAATGTGCCACTACCTAATATTCTCTTTACTTCTACACACATTGTTTTCCTTGTGCCATTGTGGTATATATCTCTCTGCACTTCATTGACACATCTCTTCAAAAATGACAAATAATATAATTTACTTTAAAGTTTGTGTTTGTTCCATTTATTTCCTCAGTCCTCAATGTCTTAACCAACTCTAAGCTTCTAACACTTCAGTCCTTTCCTTTCATTAAGAACCACTAAAACAAAAGTGGAAGAAATACATTCTAATGTTCTCTGTGCTGAGATGATGATTACAGACCAGTTTCCATAACGAAACATCTCCACTCAGGTCTCAGGCTAGCACTGAAGAAGTTTCATTGTGCACATCACATCTTTTGACTGAAATGTGTTTCTACTGCATTTTACTAAACTTGGCCAGGTCTGATGTAGAGTATGGTGAAGGTATATTGCAACTATTTAGAGGCAGTCCTTTCCAAAACAGAACAGTATTATAAACCAATTGCCAGTGGCAGAAATTCCTGTTCCTATTGTTTTAAACAAATGTGATAGAGGAATTGATTAGTGAGTGTTTTTTTACAAATATAAATGAAGGACTACTCTACCCTTTCTATATTATGGGAAATGTCTGTTTGGATGTCTCCACCAGCAGCCTAGAGCTGGATTTCACATGACCAGGCCAGCTGGCCCATGATCAATCAGTTTGCCTGCCAGATAAGATCAAGAACATTTTATGCATTTCAGGAACATTTTTTTCTCCTCCCCCCTCCTCTCCCTCAACCCTTCTCCACTCCCCTGCTACTCCTTGCCCAGGATTAATAGGTTTGTTTTATTTTGTTAGTCACCCAGCTCTCTTGGAGATTTCCACTAGGACTGTGGTCATTTCTGGGAGAGGCCACCAAAAGAGTGTCCAATGGTAGCTCATTGATGCAAGCTCAGCTCCAACTTTCAATGGAGAAGTTCGTTGATGAGCGCTACTGTAGCGTTTTTTATTTTTTAAATAAAATAAATAAAAGCTTCAATAAAAAGAGCCCAAGCACACAGAAACTCTTATAATGTAATAAAAGAAGGTAAAGGCTGGCCATTCATGGAAAGGACAGACTTCCATACCACAAACCACTGATAACCCCTCAGCCATAAGATTTGACTATAGCATAAAGGATAAAGTTTTCCTATCCCATGGCCATAAAAAGCATCCAATTACCAAAGGAAGAAGATGAATGAAGAATAATTACATTATCATAGATTATTGCCATGATAAACACAAAAGGTATAGCGAGTTGCAGAGTATAGCTGCTTTGCTAAGCTGTGCTACACACTGCCATCCATTAAGAGATTTTTATCTACAGCTCAGTGTGTGTGCATCTTCAAACACATAGCTCTCCTCTGTGTTAGTTTTGCAGTGACAACTCAAATGGATTGGTATGGGACATTTTATGGAAAAGCCATCCTCAAAAATGTTATCAATAATATCAGCGCTGTACTTTTTTTGAAAACTATTCTGCCGCCCTGCTTCAAAATTCTCTCACTTCTACCCATCAACATACTTTCTAATAATTATGTTTTTCACACTAGCATATGATTCATATGCATAGGTTTACAGCATAAACACACCTACAATAGCAAAGGTTACAATTTTGTGGTTGAACATGGTGCATTCAGACAGGACTACAATAACTGAGAAACGCCAGTAATAATTACATTAACCTTACCTCCTCATATAAAACTAATCCCGCCCGAATAGGGTTTTAGTCTATAGTAGGCTATAGTAGTATTTGTCTCCTATCTCTTTAAAGTGTGAGCAGTGTGGGTCCTTGCCAACTAACTTTGTAGTTTTAAAATTACTTCACATTACTTAATTATTTCAATTCTGTGGTGAACTGAGTAGCACGTTGATTATGCTCCACTAAAATAGGAGGACTATACATAAAGAGCGTTGTAATTCCTTCATTCCTTCAATTTCATTTGATATGGATATACATGTGCATTTTAACATTGTCATGTTTTGGAGTGGGAATAGTTTTGCCTACACACCACTGAAAAGTCAGACAAGTCAAGCAAAAATGTAAATTTATTCTATTACAAAAAGCCAGACAAACCATCAGTGCTCATGAAGCAACTCTCTCAACCTACTCCCTTTTTGAAGATTCAAAAAAATTGCCCTCACCTGTGTAGGCTCTGCTGGGGGCTTCTTAAAGTGACAGTACAACAGGAAGAGGATATACTCAGTTGCAAAGACAAAAAAACAGATGCATCAAAAAGCATCAAAACCTGTTTCAAAATACAATACATTGATCAAAGATAGCCTCTTTCACAGAAACAATTGAGATTAAGACCCTCATTCATACCATTAGGGAGCAGAGATCCAAAAGTACTCCTAATAATCTGTAATAATCTTTTGTTCTGATCTCCCCTTCTTCTCTGCATCACTACCTCTCAATGCCCAGGAAATGTTAATCTGAAAGAGAATGTTTAGGTGATTCAAAATGACGAAAAACAAGAAACGTATCATCCTGTCTGCGAATCGCACTTATATGTTCAATTATTCTGGTCCGCAGAGCTTGTCTAGTTTTACCTACACAATAGAGGAGAAGGACACATGATGATATGTAGATCAACACATGTTGCATGCTCTCCAAGTTATGAATTGTCTGATATTGTTGTGACTGTTCTTTTATACATTGACTATTCTATTTTATAGCCACTAGATGGTGCTGCTAAGGTTAGACAAAAGTGTTCCTTAATTCTGATTTGCGAGTTAAGTCACATGATGAGGGTTAGAGGTCAGTGCAGCCATCTTGGATTTGAGCTGTGTGTGATGAAGCAGGTGTAATTTCATCTCTGTCCATCCTCACGTTTTGTGCCTTAGACATCACTGTTTGTGAGTAAAACTTTGTACATTATGTTTTAAGATGCTGATGAGTAGAGTATTACTTACATTTTCTTGAGCTGTTAGTAGTAAATGCTGTTAGTAATGTTAGATGCCTTTCTATATCACATACCGCGTGGATACAAAGCATGTTGCTTTGCAAATATCTCAGTGGTCTATTTTGTAAGCATACTGATGTCTTCCAAAACTGAAGATATGTAATGTTGTTTGCAGTTTCACAAAAAAGATTGGGAATCTGGATAAAGTAAACACTGAAGACACTGAAACGCCTTTGGTCCAGCTCTTTATTCAATCCCAGCTGTTTAGCTATCTGTCAAGTTGCGTTATGTTACACGCAGTAAGGACAGAATAGATATTATATGTTTATATAAAGTTTGAGGGTGTGTAAAGGATTTACATTTCATAAACTGAGAACAAGAGATACAATTGTGACAAGGAAAATTACCTCAGGTATTGGAGAGAGTTGCAGAAACAATGAGAATATATGTATCTGCCTGTACCAATTTGTGGCTTAAATTTTTTCCTCTTGAAAAGACCCGAAGGGGAGGATCTGTAAAAAGATTTGATAGCTGATCATCACTTTGTAAAATATGCGAATGATTGTTAATGACATTCTTAGTTATCTGACTTGGAGCACTGAATGTAAATTTTTGTTTTCTAGAGCCACCTTCTGGAGTCCTAAAGGGTGTGAAATATGTATCTTCTTTAGAGCAGAATCAAGCCAATTCTCTGGATACCCACGGCCACGGAAGTCCTTATATAGAATCTGGGCTCTAGCCTCAAAATCAGCTGTATCTGAAAAAATATCAAAGCCTTGTGAACTGACTACAAGACAGGCCCGTTTTGTGGAACTGAATGGGCACTTTTAGGATGAAGAAGACTTTACATAGTTCTTGTATATGATGAGTAAACTGAATGGAAAGTCCAAAACAGTTCATATACAGTGCGAAGAATTCAAAATCCTTCTGTGAACCGCTGAAAATGACAAACCGGTCATCAGTATACCTTTTGAGCAGAATAATGTTTTCTAAAAAAGGATTATTACTGAGAACAGTAAAGATTATATTATTGAGAAGTAAAGATTTGTGTAATTAGGGGCCATAGTGGCTCCCATAGCAGTGCATTTAATCTGCAGATAGAAAGAGTCCTTAAATGTTTAATTTACTGTTTTGTGTCCCCTTTTTTAAACATTACTGTAAAAAACTATTTTCTCCCGTCTGGTGGTCTGTCCGTCCTTTAGATCTTCTGCCCCTTGCCTTTGTCCTTGTTTTTCAGATTGCATCTTCTGCTGTTCTTGTTCTGGAGAATCTGAGATCATGTTAGAGTTGCTGCTGGCAGGTTGCTGTTTAGTTTAGTGGTGTGAATCAAGTTGTGTGCTGATATTTGTGGGATCTGCGCTGCACTGTAGAACGTTTCACTGGCATTAGACCCATGCTGGTATCACCTTACCGTTACAAAGCTTGAGGCAATCATGATGCATAATCTTCCTGTGTTGCGTTCCTTGAACTTCATAAAGTACAGGGCCATAACATGCAGAGACCACACATGGTCCTTTTCAGGAGGCCTGCAGTTTTGGGTTCTATTTGCTCTGTCAAGTGATGTCCCTCACATAGACAAGTCTTCTACATTGAAAACCCTCTCTTGTGCCCCCAAGTCATACACATTCTTTTGTCATTGTTGCGCAACTCTGAGGTGTTCCCTGGCAGTGTTGTGGACCTCATTCATCCCCTATTCAGGCTGTGGAGGAATTCTGGGACTTCTGAAGTTGGTATACTTCCCTTCCTAGCATTAGTTTCTTTGGTGTCTATTTAGTTGCTGCATCTAGGGAGCTACGATACGCTGCAGTCAAAAGTGGTAAATGCTCGTCCCAGTTTTTCTGATTCCTATCAATGTAGCATCTGATAATCTGGAGCACCTTTCAACTTGTCTGCTAGATGCAGGGTGATAGGGCGTTGTCCTTGCGTTAGAAACCTGTATGAGTCTACACATGCTCCTGAAGAGGGAGTTTTAAAAATTGTGCCCTTGATTAGCCCCTTGGTCTGGAATTGCAAAGGCCTTGGCCCAGCGGGTAAACTGGTCAGTGATGACAAGGAAATGCCTGTTTCCAGAGCTGGACACTGAAAATGGTCCTAATATATACAAGCGTAGCCGTTCCAGAGGTGCTCCAGCTTGGTAATTTTGTAGTTTGGCATGTTTAGCAGGGCCTGCAGCTTTGCATTCATTACAGTGCTGGCATCTCTTTATGAATGAGTGGACATCTCCTCCCATACCATACCAGTGGAAACTGTGACTGAGACATTCCAGCATCTTCTCCTCCCATACCATACCAGTGGAAACTGTGACTGAGACATTCCAGCATCTTCCCCTCCCCCAAATGACAAGACTTTGGAGGATTGTCGCAAGCTTGCAAAATTTCTTTCTGCAGTGAGGCAGGAACCAGCAGAAGTAGGGAGGGATTTAGTTTCCCAGGTCTTTCCCATCGATAGTACAGCACTCCTTTCTGTAGTTCCAACACAGCCAGTACTTCCGCACAGCTGGGCCTTCTAGTGCTACTTGTTCCTTTATAGGTGGCTGACCAAGTTCTTTTCATCGGTGCAAACTCTACGACACAGGGTCTGACTTCTGCTTCTGCTGTCAGTTGCTCACTGGTGAGGGGCTGCAGCCAGTTTGCAAATGGAGTCTCTAGTGGGGTTTCTGTCTGACCCTCTCCTGTTTAACCCCTACTACTCATCTGCATCTTCTCCAAGTTTAATGACCCTTAATGCCAAAGAAACAACATTGTCAACATCATCTTCCAACAATATGTGACATCTTTGGCAGTGCTTACAGTCTCTACGAAGTAAATCAATCAATCTTTACCTGCTTGGTAGCAGTTACAGTCATCCCAGCTTGCCTTATCTTGTCTTCACATTGCATCTGCATTAGAGTGCCGTTTTCCTGCTCTGTGTCCAATGTCAAAATTGTACTGACCTAGTTCTTCTAGCCAACGAGCCAGTTGTCCCTTAGGGTGTTTAAATCAAAACAACAAGGTAAGGCTGTTGTGGTCAGTACGCAGCACAAACCTTTGACCAAGAAGGTAATGGCAGAACTGCTGAGTGTAGCGGACAATGGCCAGTAAATCCCTAGTCACACAGTACCTCTTTTAGCATATGTGAACACTCTCTCTTCCCTTCACTGGAGTTGTGAAAACACTTCTCTGATGCTGTGGTTAGAGGCATCTGTGTCAAGGATGTATTGTCCAGAATATGCTAGGACAGGGGCTGAAACATGTTTTTCTTTAAGCTTCTCCCTAAACTTAGTCCAAAATGGTGCTGCAGATTGTACCCTCACTGACAGCTTTGTATGTTTAATGTTTGTTTTGGTTAATGTTATCTATTGAGTGTGAAACTCAGTCATTTGGAGCAACAAACTGTTACTGACCTTACATTTTACATTTACATTCTATGGCATTTGGCAGACGCTCTTATCCTGTATACCTCTATTGTATATTTTTACCTCAGTAACTGCTGTGCTCACGTATGTATCACAATATGACTGCGTATACCCATATCATAGCATGTTAAATATCTCTGCACCTTATCCTCACTACCTCATGCTCAGAAATAAGTGCTGTGCTGGTGCTGCACTGTCCTGTATGTTTACTGTGTCTAATGTCTGTTTTATTTATCGTACTTATTGTATTGTTTCTAGTTTAATGTTTTGCACACTTACGTTTGCACATTTGCACTTTGTCTGTACTGTCTATTTTGTTCCATGTTGCACCATGGTCCTGGAGAAACGTAATTTCGCTCCACTGTGTACTTGTACACAGATGGAATAACAATAAATACTTATCCAGACCTACTTACAATTTGATCATTTTATAAAGACAGGCAATGGTAGTGTTATGAGTCTTGCCCAAGGTCCCCAAGGTCACAACGGGTGCACTGGCCCTGCTCAACCTAGTGAGAAAGCGGCAGAGAGGCAGGACCAACTATCTTGGCAAGGAACAACTCTTGTTCACTGAAAGCCTTCCCACTGGTGTGAATCATTATGACAGCAGCTCTTAAGAGATCAAGGTCAAGAAGGATATGCTCATGGATAGGAGCCACCTAGACTTCCCATGTAAAGCTTCTAGTGCCCAACTGAAAGGTGACCTTCAGCTCCCTCCCATAGCAGTCATTTCCTTCCCTGACACAGCACTCCTAAGGCATGTTTTCTCCAATGCAGTCTGTTTCTGGACGACGGAGTTGCCGCTTCCTGCCAGATGCCAATCAGGCACTGAACCCCCTCTCAAATGGGATTATAGCCTTTGTTCATGGAATGAGTAACCTAGCTTTCTGAATTTTCACACCAACTTACTACAGAGTAATATAACCGGTTGCGGAACTGGCTCAACCAATCAATATGCAAGTAGCATGAATACATTACTAATATGGGAGGGAGCAAAGGAGCAGCTTAACTCCTATACACTACAATAATAACATTTCTTAAACTTAAAGCATTCAAAAAGTTCAATCTTGGTAATGAATGTATCAGTGGTATGTGAAGGAACAAACCTCAGACCCTTATTCAAAAGGCTTACTTCACTAGGATGTAAACCTGACCAGTAAGATTGAAGATCAGATTATTCTTTGATGATCACCTTTCTTCTTCCTGTTAAATTGTCGTACACCTCTTTGAGCCACCCCATCTGCCACAGCATGTCCTCTTTGATGCAGAGGATATTTGCACACTGCTGTTGTTTGAGTGTCGGTATTGCTGGATTGTTCTCTTAAAAAATTGCTTCACTCTTACCACTGGAAGCTGAAGTATAAAAGGCCTCATCTACAAAATGGACTTTACGTTGAGATCCACTTGAAGTGTATTTCTAAGATATATATTCTTTTCTCTTTACAGTCCAAAGCATCTCAACAAAACTTTGTAATTTTCATTTGTTGAAGATCCCCCTTTAAATCAGACAAGTTGTTCCACTTCTTCATTGATGCTTACTTCACTATGTGATGTAATTA